AAAAGATTAAAATTTTAATCTTTTGAATTGCTTTATTAAAATTGAGATTCTTAAAAAGATTTCAATGCTCAAGATTTTTCCCTGAAATGTGTTCAAACCACTTCCAAAGGTTGTAAAGGAAATAATGAAAAATTCCCTAGTTTATGGTCTCAAAGAAAGGGTCATGGCAGTTTGTTTATAAACGACTCAATTAAAATGGGAAAGCCATGTGAAGTTATTTCCTCATGTAAATTACACGAAATCGTGCTGCACAGCTGTTTCAGGGTGGAGGGAGCAGGGATTTTTGTAATGTTTGAATGTCTTTCGGTATCTGATCTGTCTTGTGGCTCATCTCATCCGAATCTTCCTTGAGGAAACACAGGACAGGGTTTCGATGAAATTAAAACACACGTCAACTTTTTCTCCAATGTACCAAAATGTAATTCCCTTTTCTTCATTTACCCCAAATAAAATTACTATTTGTTATTTGACAGGAGAACTAATCATTTCTCTTAGACAGGTAAAAGCACTTGAACATTATATAATTTACCGGAAAGTCACAGCATATCACAAACACAAACAAAATATCCTAGTGTATGAAACAGAGTAGGTTTGAAGACCGTGGATGGATGTGTTGAGTGGCAGATGATGTAAAAGGCAGACAGCTGGGTTCAGATCCTGGAAGCCGAGTGTCTTATCCTGACATTCGTGATCTTAACCAAGCTGCTTAACTTCCATTGCCACTGTTTTCGTCAGCAAAGTATTGACGTTTGGCTTCGTTATCTCCAAGTTCTAGTCCAAGACTCTGACTACAAGTCACCATGAGCTTAGAGCTGACGATTTGAAATTTTTTCCTTATTTGGAAATGTTTGTCTAAGGTTGTGTGAAGTCCCTGTTGGTCACGGTCCCTGATTCCATCTGGCTCTGCTCCTGCCCTCCCTGCCCTTCCTGGGCCTGCTTGTGGACTCTGCCCTCCTGCTAGGACTGGCTCTCCCATTCACGCTGCAGGTCTTATGAGTCTTCCACTGCAATCTTCTGCTGTGTCTTCTGCAAACAGCC